AGGCGGGGCTGTGGGGTGACAGGGTGAAGGCGGGGCTGTGAGGGGTCGCGGGGGGCAGGGTGAAGGCGGGGCTGTGGGGTGACAGGGTGAAGGCGGGGCTGTGAGGGGTCGCGGGGGGCAGGGTGAAGGCGGGGCTGTGGGGGGCTGTTGGGGGGCAGGGGCTCGTGGCGGGTCCGGTGAGGGGCGGGGGCGCTGTGCGGGCGGGGGGATGGGCACGCTGCTTGCGCTGTTTACATTCTGCTGCTTCCAGGGTAACCGCTGCCTCCGCGTCCCCCGCAACGAAAGAAAACTTCCCGTTACGCCCATAACGTAGCGCTCCCAGGCAGCCCGTGCTGCGTTACTCCCCCGCTACGCCCTGTAACCTACGTAAATAACTTCAGGAATACGCTTCCCCATCCCCTCGCAACCACCACCTAGCTCCTAGTAGGGCTTAACAGCGGTTACCAGGACACTTCGTTTTCATCCAATCAGTGTGACGTTAGTTCATTGCTAAGGGGAACAGCCAATCACCCACGATATCAATCATTCAATCGAGCCAATGAGGAGTGCCCTAAGGAGGGAGATTGCTAAATGTGACATGAAAGACGTTGAACAGTCTGACCAATAGAGAGCGGAGAGGAATTGGGCGGGATTAGCAACTTGATTGACATCGCTTTAACCGGCCGGAGTGTTCTTATTTTGTCGAGCCTCGTTATGAGCGACCAATAGCGGCTGTCGGCAGTCGCTGTGGGCGGGGGCAGGCCCGGTGCGCGCGCAATCCGTTGGTATATAAGCGGTGGCGGTTGGCCGCTGTGACGCAGCTAGTGTGCAGATTGCTGCGTGACTGTTGTCGCTGAAGGGTGTCGCCGCCGCCATGAGGGAGATCGTGCACCTGCAGGCTGGGCAGTGCGGGAACCAGATCGGGGCCAAGGTCAGTGCTGTGCCCGCCCCAGCGGCGGGCTGGGGGTTGGGCCCGGCCCGGCCCCGCCGGGGGGTAACGGCCGCCGCAGGGGTGGCGCGGCCCGGCCCGGCCCGGCTGACCCGTGTGTCTGTTGCAGTTCTGGGAGGTGATCAGTGACGAGCACGGCATCGACCCCACCGGCACCTACCACGGCGACAGCGACCTGCAGCTGGAGCGCATCAATGTCTACTACAACGAGGCCACAGGTAGGGCTCGGCCCGTCCCCCCCCCCCGCGCGGGGCCCCCCCTCCCCCCTCCGGCGGCCCCGCGCTCACGCGCTTCCTTCTCTCGCAGGGGGCAAGTACGTGCCGCGCGCCGTGCTGGTGGATCTGGAGCCGGGCACGATGGACTCGGTGCGCTCCGGGCCTTTCGGGCAGATCTTCCGGCCCGACAACTTCGTCTTCGGTAAGTCGGGGGCCTGCGTGGGCCGGGCGGGTCGGGCCGGCGGGTCGGGCCAAGGCTTTTCCGTCAGTTGGAGCGGGTCGTGGGCAGGTAAAGGGGAAGCTCCGAGCGCACCTCCGACACAGGCCGGGCCGGTTAGTGACATGCAGGGAACAGAAGTTAATTTAGGGAGCTCGGAGCTAACCCTTTTGAATGCAGCATTAATTAAGTTGAGTACTTAATTAGTGTTGCATTAAAATACTTGAGTGGTATCTTAGACCTGAGTTGTAATGAGAACAAGTACTTGGGGGGGTGGGGGTCTCCCCTGTTTGTGTAATCATTTGGGGCTCATCCTTCCTTTTGCTTGCAAGCAAATAGCTTGCTGTGTTAATCTGCTGTGAAAATGGCTCTCTTCCAGGTCAGAGTGGAGCAGGCAACAACTGGGCAAAGGGCCACTACACAGAAGGTGCAGAATTGGTTGACTCTGTATTAGATGTTGTAAGGAAAGAAGCAGAAAGCTGTGATTGTCTTCAGGGCTTTCAGCTTACCCACTCTCTTGGTGGTGGCACTGGCTCTGGCATGGGCACCCTCTTAATCAGCAAGATTCGCGAAGAGTATCCTGACAGGATCATGAACACTTTCAGTGTTGTACCATCTCCTAAAGTATCGGACACTGTAGTGGAGCCCTACAATGCCACTCTTTCTGTACACCAACTTGTAGAGAACACAGATGAAACCTATTGTATTGATAATGAAGCACTCTATGACATCTGTTTCAGAACCCTGAAGTTAACTACTCCAACATATGGTGATCTGAACCATTTGGTGTCAGCAACCATGAGCGGAGTTACCACCTGCTTGCGTTTTCCAGGTCAGCTTAATGCTGACTTGCGTAAGCTAGCAGTTAACATGGTTCCTTTCCCCCGTTTGCACTTTTTTATGCCCGGCTTTGCTCCACTCACCAGCCGTGGGAGCCAACAATATCGTGCTTTAACTGTACCAGAGCTCACACAGCAGATGTTTGATGCAAAGAACATGATGGCTGCCTGTGACCCACGTCATGGCCGCTATCTCACTGTAGCTGCTGTTTTTAGAGGCCGCATGTCAATGAAAGAGGTGGATGAACAAATGCTTAATGTACAAAACAAGAACAGCAGCTATTTTGTTGAATGGATTCCCAATAATGTTAAAACTGCTGTCTGTGATATCCCACCCCGGGGTCTGAAAATGTCCGCCACATTCATTGGTAACAGTACAGCTATCCAGGAGTTATTTAAGCGCATTTCTGAGCAATTCACTGCTATGTTTCGCCGAAAGGCTTTCTTGCATTGGTACACGGGAGAGGGCATGGATGAGATGGAGTTCACTGAAGCAGAGAGCAATATGAATGACCTGGTCTCCGAGTATCAGCAGTACCAGGATGCCACAGCTGAGGAGGAGGGGGAGTTTGAGGAGGAAGCTGAGGAAGAAGCAGCATAAAACCTGTGCAGTAGCTACTCCTGTAAATTATGTTTAAAGCTGTATGAACTCCCTTCTCATTCAGAAACTTGTCTTTATTGCTGTCTCTACTGTGTACCTTCCACTTCTGTTTCCTGTTGACTTCATGTCAAATGCTGTACAGACATCACAATTAAAGCATTTTTCACAGCGCACAGTTTTGTCTCTGCGCTTTCTGGTAGGCTTTCCGGGTACTGTTGCCAAATGTTAAGGCATAGCTGTGTCTGAGGGCTGAAAAACATCAAAATACAGTAGTTTATTTTTGCATAAGCATCTGCCTATTTTGCTCTTAATTTTAGTTGAAGAAAATACTGGAACAAAGTTTTACATGTACTATGGCGGATAAGACTTAAATAAGGATGTCACTTGCTCAATGGGCTGACATAAGGCTACTGCCAGAGGTGTGGAGCAGTTGTGCATCTAGTGAACTGAAATGCATAATTGATACACTTTCCATCTGTTAATTTAGAGCAAGCTTACAAAATATCTCTATTGAATACTCTATACACCGCAAACATTTACAGCCTAATTAGTGGATGGTTTCAAAAGACTTAAGTTTGTACTCAACTTGCATTGTCCCAGATCTGTAAAAGGCAAGGATTTTAAAAAAATTAACTTTCTTTCAAGAACACCAGCAGCTTCAATTTTGCAGGTTTGCCTGTGGTTGTTTTTTTTGGGGGGGCTTTTGGGTGAAGAGGGCCTGAAATTCCTTCCTGCTGGCTGATAATAAACAAATGAGGCCCAAGATTCAAATTAGGTACCTATTAATTTTGGAGCCTTGGCTAGCAAGTCTGATTAATATGGAGCAATCTCCTATTACCTTTTTTTGCAGTAAAGCAGGTGAAACCTGGAGTTTGTTTTGTTTTTAATGGCACAACAGAGTCGTGTACATAACTGCCGCTAGGTGCCTAAGGCACAGATTTGTGCACTGCTGGCTGATATTTGTAAAAATCTCTCTCAGCTGCCACTGAATCCTGTAGGCATCTAAACTCTATGGGCCATTCAATTTTTGCAGTAGAAGCTTCCTAAGGGCAGCTCTACATGTGAAACGTTGCAGCAGCTTCTGTCAGTATAGGTGCTCTGCCCCCTGGAGAGGGAGTAGCTATGTCAACATGAAAAGTCCTGTCTACAGCGGGGATTAGGTTGCTTTAAGTAGCTCAGGGGTGTGGTTTTTTTTCTTAATGCCTGAGTGATGTAGTTACACCCAGGGCTGGCCCTAGGTATTTTGGTGCCCTACATGGGGGGGGGGGCTGTCTGGGGCCCTGCCCCAGGCCTTGGGGGGAGGGGCTGGCCCCCAGGCTTCTGTGGGGGGAGCAGGGGGGCTGTGTGGGGCCCTGTCCCAGGTGGGGGAGGGGGCTGGCCCAAGCCTGCTCAGCTCCCCTGGCTCCCAGGCTTGGGGGGAGGGGGGAACTGTCCCCCCCTCCCAGCACTTACCAGAGGTGTGGCTGGGAGCCAGGAGTGAAGCAGGCTGGGGCCGGGTCACTCTACTTACGGGTGAGTGCAGGCCCAACTGCTTCTGGAGTCTTCAGGGGAGTGGGGCTGGGTTAGGGTGGGGGGTGGAAAGAGGCCGGGCAGAGCAGGGGTGGGATCCCTGGGGAAGAGCCAGAGCAGGGGCTGGAGCAGCATGCAGCTGTGTGAGGCACCAGGAAATGTGCACCAAATTTCCTGGTGCTCTACACAGCTGCGTACTTTGTGTATGGGTAAGGATGGCCCTGGTTACACCATCCCAATTTCCTAGCATAGACCTGGCCTAAGTTTCTGTTTTTGGGTCTGCACCCTGCAGCCGTGCTTGTGACAGACAGGTAAGGTCCAGAGCAGTTCATGAGTATGGGGAACTCCTGTGGGCCCTAAGATGACAGATATACTCACATATTGCTTAACTGCATATAAAATAGCTGGGGGCAGATGAAGGAGCTCTTGGCTTTTAGCCCAGTGTTTAAGGTAGTTATGGGGGAGACACCCCCCCCCCAGCTGTAGCCCCCTCTTCTGCCTGATAAGGCAAAGAGACAGGCATCCAGTCCACTAGCTCCAATGTTTATTTAGCCAAAGTGGACCAGCTTCAACAGGAGGGAGTGATAGAACTGCACATCAGAATATCCTCTAGCCAGTGGTTTGGGCACTTTCCTAAGGGCATACAGAGCCAAGTTCAAATGCCTTCCCATCTGGAAGAGGGGAGACTTGAAGGAGTCTTACAACTTGGGTGAGTACCTTAACCACTGGGCTAAAAGCTAGGGGGGAGTAGCTCCTGCTGGCAGCTTCTTGCAGAGGGCTCATAGGTGAGAATCCCAAGCAGAACTAGGCACCTCCCTCCAGCCTGGACTTAGGCATGAACCTCTGGAGAAGGTTGGGACTTAGCACATTGCCCCCCTTCTTGGCATCTCCTATTGGCTAGTTCAGGTGGCTGTATGTGCTGGCTTTTTGAATCCCATTCTTAGGAAGCCTGAGTGCTGAATTCAGATTTTTATGAATCTGTGACTTTCCAAATGCCTTGGTCCCCTTGTCCTTTGATCCTTTTTTGCCTCCTTGGCACAAGGCATCTGTGAGCTGCAGACCTCTAAGCTGCAGAGTTTTCTGGAGGGACATTTCAAACTTTTTCAAAATTTATAACAATTCAGTTCAGCATTGTCTAATTCCCCCTTGAGCCCCAGGGCTGCATTTGTTGCTTGGGGATTTTGTTTCCTTGGCTCTGCTTCCCCCTTCTGAGGCATTTGCAGGGGTTAGTGCCCCCTGCAGGCTTCAGGAGAGAGGTGGGCCAAAAAAACCCAGTGGCAAAAGGAAAGGTCTCTGTACCCTGCTCACTCTTCTGCTTGAGTGACTTGAGTGGGAGCTTGGCTGGCTCCGGGGATAGTGCAGCTTCCCTCAACTCAGTCTGGGGTGGGAGGTCATCTTGGGCTCCTCTCCACCAGGGGGGAACGGAGGTAGGTAGGAGTGGAAAAACTGGCTCTGGGGCAAGCAGCTCCTCCCCTCTGATGGCAGTGATGTCACAGGGGTTCTGCACTAGATGAAAGAAGGCACCTAGCTCCCTAGAGCGTGCATCAGCAGCTGTGCTGCCTGCAGAGCTCAGTTGCCACCTCCTCCCCGTTTCCTTGGACCATGGATGAAGAGCACTGAACACAGCACGGGCATTTCTAGCACTGGAGAAAGCAGTAAGTGACCTTGGGGCCAAACTCCCTCTCTCTGTTGCAACCCTACTCACACCCCTTGAGGCCTACATGGGAAACAGACTCCTCTGCCTCACGTGGATCCCAAGCAAGAGAGAGGGGTGAAGCTTTTGAGGTATTCATCCCTGTATCTTCTTTCAGAGGCCCAGAAGGTTCCATCTGTGGGGAGGAAGGCAATCAGACCAGCCTCCTTGAGGACAGGGAGATCATAACCGCTTGAAATATTTTTGGAGCAATTCCTGAGCCTAATTTCACTCCCTGCTCTGAAGGAGGATTATGGGGACAAACTCTGAAAGGGGAAATCAAATCCGCACCATTTTCCCCTTCTCATGCTCACAGAGGGCCAAAAGTCATCTCAGTGCAGGAAAGAGCAGCCCATGGAGGTGCTGGTTCTAGCCGCACATATAGGGAATTCTCTGGGAGAAGAAGGGCCATTGTCATCAAATAATGAAATATAGATATTAAAGATAAAAACTAGATTTTCACGCATAATACAGTGAAGCTGCTTAGGAGGTTTGCAGATGCTCTAGCTCTCTTTTCCTGCTCTTTGAGAAAATAGAGGGATGGGCAGTGCCTACCATACCTAAGTATGGGGGCTGTTGTCACCAGCTGCCATGGCAGGTCATTGAGCCCCCTTCCCTCAGTGGCTTGCCCCATGAGGGCAAGAGGGACAGCAGCCCAGTTTCAGAAGAGCAGGTACTAAGGGTTGCCAGGCTCACCATGTCCTTCTGGCCTCTATTTTATAAGGCCAAAAGGTCCCTCAGTGTGCACCAGTCTAAATTCAACCTGGTGTCACTGTCAGAGGCAAACATGGCTGTCTTTCCTACTGGTCAAGGGCTTAGCATTTTTAGCTGGGGGAGAATTTTGCTTACAGAGCCACCTCCTCTCTATCCAGGTAGGCACCACCTCAGCCCACTCCCTGTGAAAATTCTCAGATGGCAGCAAATCAATGAAACACCTTCTGAGCCATATACAACAATTTTCAGTAGTTCGAGAGCTGGGCACACCTGCTAGGAGCTGGGGGTTGGGACTTCAGCCCTGCTCCTGCTGAAGCCCCAAGCACTGGCAGGTGTGCCCCACAGGGCTGAAGCCCCAAGACCCCCCCCTCCCCACTGGGCAGAAGCCCCTACCACCCCACCCCACTGCAAGGCAGGAGTCCTGAGCTCCCTCACCCAGTCTGGTAAGTGGAGAATGGGTGGGGGGCTCCGTGAGCCGCACTTTAATGGTAAAAGAGCTGCATGTGGCTTGTGAGCCACAGTTTGGCCACTCCTGAACTATATATGACCTGTCATCTGCCGCCTCCTCCACAGCCTGGTACCATGGGTGGGCAGTATTGCAATTATGGTCCCTTATAATCCAACAGCCCATAAGCTGCTCCTTGAAAAAGATCGAGGGGCACAAGTCATTTGCACATAGGATGGGCTGATTTTAATAAGAAGTTAAATAATTTTAATCTTTTGTGCTTTTTAGTTATAGTCTTAAAGAAAGATTGATTCTCAATGGCTGGTATAATTTGGTGCTTTTAGCTAACCAAAAGGATAGAGTGTATACATATTTATTTAAGCAATTATATAGCTTAACCTACATTTATTAGATTCTTAATTTTTACATTTTTATTATGTTAGAAAATGGTACAGAAATCTGTATGGGGACCAGTGCTGTTCAACGTATTCATAAATGATCTGGGAAAGTGGGTGAACAGTGAAGTGGCAAAATTTGCAGACAATAAACAATTACTCAGGATAGTTAAGTCCAAAGCTGACTGCAAAGAGTTACAAATGGATCTCACAGAACTGGGTGACTGGGCAACAAAATGGCAGATAAAATCAAGTGATAAGTGCAAAGTAATGCACATTGGAAAACAATCCCAACTATACATACAAAACGATGGGGTCTAAAGTAGCTGTTTCCACTCACTAAAGAGGTCTTGGAGTCATCATGAATAGTTGTATGAAAACATCCGCTCAATGTGCAGCGGCCGTCAAAAAAGTGAACAGTGTTAGGACCCATTAGGAAAGGGCTAGCTAATAAGACAGTAAATATCATAATGCCACTGTACAAATCCATGATAGTCGCACACCTTGAATACTGTGTACAGTTGTGGTTGCCCTATCTCAAAAAAGGTATATTAGAAATGGAAAAGGTACAGAGAAGGGCAACAAAATGACTAGGGGTATGGAACAGCATCTGTATGAAGAGAGATTAAAGAGACTGGACTGTTCAGCTTGGAAAAGAGACGACTAATGGGGGGTAAGGTAGAGGTCTATAAAATCATGACTGGTGTGGAGAACGTGAATAAGGAAGTCTTTTACCCCTTCACATAACACAAGAACCAGGGGTCACTCAATGAAATTAATGGGCAGCAGATTTAAAACCCACAAAAAGGAAGTACTTCTTCACACAATGCACATTCAACCTGTGGAACTCATTGCCGGTTGATGTTGTGAAGGCCAAAAGTATAACTGGGTTCAAAAAAGATTTAGCTAAGTTCATGGAGGCTAGGTCCATCACTGGCTATTAGCCAAGATGTTCATGAATACACCACCATGCTCTGGCTGTCCCTAAGCCTCTGACTGACATACTGGGACTAGACAACAGGGGTTGGATTGCTTGATAATTGCTTTCTTCTGTTCATTCTCTCCGAAGCATTGGGTATTGACCACTGGCGGAAAACAAGATACTGTGCTAGATGGCTCATTGGTCTGACCTGGTATGACCATTCTTAAGTTCAGATGATTAATTTTCCACTTTTCCTTCAAAACCTAGGCTGTTTACAGGGCTCACAGCTGAGGAAGTTTCAGAACGTTTGTAGCATGTGGGATCAGTGCAAAGGGAATGCTGCTTCCATTTCACACTTATCAAAGTGGATTAGGCTGTTTTTCTTTGAGACTAGTTATACTTCAGACTCTAACTCTTAACTGAAGGGCGACAAAAGGCCTGTAGTTCAGCAAGACTCCTGCCTGTCTTGTAAACAAGAAGGCAAGACTGCATTTACTCTAGGTTCCAGAGGTGGTCCAGAAGGCACAGCCCAGCACCCAAACTGACAATGGCTGCATTTCTCAAATTTCTCCACTGAGCCCCTCACTCATGACCTCAGCTGTCAGGTCTTTACCAGATGTGCCTCTTTTTAACAGATGCTGTTGCCAACTTCTAGCACAAGTCCTTTGCTGAATCTTCTGTTTTGCACCCTGTTTGCACAACCATGAATACGTCCCAACCAGCTTCCCCATCATAGCCCCTGGAATCTGCTCTAAAATTATAACTAGCCACCTGCCAGTTGCATAGCTGCTGGCTATTGCTCATCTCTGCTTGAAATCATGAGACAATCCTTGCACAAATGTGTAGCTCTGTGGACACATACTGTCCCTTTAAGATTATGGGAGAATCCGAGAGCCACAGTCGCCTGTATCTGCAGTTGGAATTTCAGTCCTGCTTTTTTCTCCTCTCTGCCTATGCTTAATTGGTTCCTGTTTCTATACTGCTCTCTCTCACGGTCTCATTGTTTCTTTTCTCCTCCTCTCCCAACAGTACGGGGAAGATCTCCGTTTTCATTTACAGAAGGGAGGGGGGAAAGGCAGAAGCTCACTGTGAATGAGGGGATGGAGGGTAGGATAGGGGAGCGAGGGAAGGCTAGGTGGGGAGGGCGTGGCCGAGAGCTCCACGCTGGAAAGGGGCATCTCAGCAGTTCCTATTGCTGTTCCTTGGCGGCTGGCGCTGTGTGCTCCCCCCTCGGCCTGTGTGCTGATGCTCCCTGCCCAGGTGCTGCTGTCCTAACCCCCGCGCCGGCAGCAGGTGCCTCTCCCCCAGGCCGGGTGTCTCCTCAAGGACCCTCAGTGGCAGGAAGGTGGGGAGAACAGAACTCTTCCTACTTGCTCCCCAATGGCCAGCCTGATCTCGTGTGCCATGGTGGCTACTCCAGCCCTACCTCCTGATCCTGTTCTCACCGCTGTGAGATAATGTGGGGGCAGAAAACATGGGGGGGGAGGGGCTGGAAGAAAGCATCAGCCCCCCAGTATTTCCATTGCGCGGGCACTAGCTCCTTCCCCACATGTCTGGTACCCCGAGCTACAGTGCAATCTCCTCTAGTTAAAGAGGCACACACAATTGTCAGTTCACAGTTTGCTGACACAGCTTTCACACAGCAGTCTCCGCAAGTCAAGTGTGTGCAGCTGGCTGGGAGTCTGGGTGCCCCCATTCTTGTGGCTGACGTCTTGGCCTGGGTAATACACACTTGTGTTGCTGCTCAGCTGGACAACAGCAATGCACTCTAGCTGGGCATGAAGCTATCAACCCGGAAGATACCTGATATATGACAGGAATGGCCAGGGTAGGGGTTGCTGTCAATAACTCCATACCTTTGGCACAATGGAATTACCTACAAAAAGGAAAAAATTCCTTTGCGCAGGAAACGTTTTTTCCCCCTGAGACACCAGTCCAAGGCTGTGGAATGGACTCATGCAGGATCTAAGTACTCACTGTTATCCATGCCTCAGCTTCAACTAGACAATGAGAAAGCCACTTGATGGCATCTTCAAGGATGGATGAAATGGACAATGAAGTCAGATGCTATACTTATGGCATTTCACGCCATGCCTTCTTGGACACTGAAGAGGAGAGGTGGCAGAGTAGAACTCTGTGGTGGACATTCATGTGAGATCACCTTTGGGGCAGGAAAACAATTGCCCAGGAAAGAAACAAAGCCAAAAACCGAGCATCCTCACTGCTGTCCGGGTCCATAGGCAAGCTATGAGCACCTCGTGATTACAAGCAGCTGACAGATCTTAGAGCCACTTTTTTTAGTATTTATCCATGGTGGAACAGTCATTGGGCCAGAGAGAGTGACACCGAGAATGATTCTGTAGTCTAGTAGTTAGGGCAGCCACCTATGAGGTGGGCTCCAGTCACTCTTTCATTAGTTGTCCACAGTGCATTAGCGAGGGAGCACCGTGTCAGAATATCCCCATGCTCAGTGGTTAGAGCACTCTCCTGAAAAGTAGGAGACCATGGGTTCACTGCCTTTCACTCCCTTTGCCAGGGAGGGGGGAATTGAATCCTTGGCTCCCACATCCCAGCAGAGTGCTCTGACCAATGGGATACAAGTTGTTAGTGGACGGCCTCATAGAATCATAGCAGATCAGGGTTGGAAGGGACCTCAGGAGGTCATCTAGTCCAACCCCCTGCTCAAAGCAGGACCAATCCCCAACTAAATCACCTCCTCTCCTGTTATTTAATGTGGAATGAGGCAGGCACCTACCTTGTTGCCTCCAGAAATGCCTTAGGCATCTAAGCCACGGACTGCTAAGCAGAGACGGGCACCTGCCTTCAGCCTGGAGTTAGGTGCCTATCTCCGAGAGAGGGGCAGGGTTTAGCACACACCTGTCTCATCAGCATCTCCCATTGGCTAGCTTAGGTGGCTCCCGGCTAAGCCTTTTGTGGCTTACAATCTAAGGCACCGATCTTTGTTCCTTCATCATATAGGGAGCCTGGCTGCCTAACAGCTTGGTGGATCAGTGCTGTTCCTGGGATTTTTCTATGCACAGCGACACTCAGCATCGCAATGCATACGTTCCTTCACGGATCCCACTGCAGGGCCACAGAATGTCTATTTTCATAATCAACTTATTTGCAACCTCGCTTATTCTAATGGAGTCTGCTACTGGTATTATAAAAATAACATCTTAAGACAAGAGTCTCCCTAAAGAAGATAACCTATTATCTAGCAAAGTTATTTTTCAGTATCATGTCTCCAGTGGCCTCTTCCTGGCCCAAGCTCAGAAACAGTACGCTATTATCATCCTTCTTTACCTGTCAGCTGCCTTTCACATTGGTGATTGGCCTTTGACATTTCCTGCTTTGAGCAGGGGGTTGGACTAGATGACCTCCTGAGGTCCCTTTAGGGTGACCAGACAGCAAGTGGGGGGTAATAGGAGCCTATATAAGAAAAAGACCCCCAAATTGGGACTGTCCCTATAAAATCGGGACATCTGGTCACCCTAGGTCCCTTCCAACCCTGATATTCTATGATTCTATGATCATGCTCCTCTTCTTGAAATCTTGTCCTTCCTTGGCTTTTGTGACTGTGCACCCTGGTTCTCCTCCTACCTTTCTAAGCGCTCCGTCAGCATTTCTTTGGGAAGAGCCTCCTCCTCCCCCCTCCAACCTTCTGTGTGGGTTCCACAGGACTCCGTCCTTAGTCCCATCCTCTTCTCCTAGTTCCCTACACTTACACAGGCCTATCTCCACACTACCCGTCTCTTATTCACTGTCAAGATGTTGGCGCCTGATTCTGCTCTGCCAGTGACACCTATCTATTAGATTTTCAAGTGCTATCTGACGTGCTGCTCCTCAGGCTTGGAAGCAGCATACTTAAACTCCTGCGAAAGTACCTCCTTCAAAACTCTCCCCTTCGCAGTGATATCTCCAAAATCTGAACAGTGGTTAGGCAGCTGGTGTGCTGTAACAATGACCTGTCCTGCTGAACAGAACTGACTCACTGGTTCTTTGTGCTTCTCCCATCTGTTTGTTGCATCCAGCTGTTGTCTCTTGTCATATTTAGATTGTAAGCTCTACTGGATGGACCGTCTCTTTGTTTGTAGAGGCCCAGAACAATGGGTGTTGCATGGGTGATCCAGGACTCAGGCCACCACATACGAATAATTATAAAAATAATTTCAGTGATTCATGTTCGGTCAGAGAATAAACTTACTTGGTACAAAGCCTGTGTAGAAAGGTATCAGTCCAGCGCTGGTGTAAATTTTATTATTAGGCCAATATGTCTGTGGTAGTCTCTTACCAAAGTTCCACACTGGGTTTCTTACCATAAACTGAAAGAACAAATAGGAGCTTTTATTTTCAAATTGAAAGTGTTGCAATACAAATTAATACAATTTTTAATCCACATTTGTACAACCAGAACAAAATTGAAACTAATGCTAAAGCAGAGTCAGATTGGAGCTGGACTAGGGCAATTGGGACACTAGGCTCAGCATAGCACAGCTGGACTGCAGTGATCGGGACACTGGCTCACCATGACACAGCTGGACAGCAGCGACTGGGACCTGTGGCTCACCATGGTAGCGCTGGACTATGGCAATCATGGCCCCAGGCTCACCGTGTCCCAGATGGATTACAGTGACTAGACGACAGGCTCACCATCTCGCAGGACCCATGGCACTGCACCATGCTATGGCATTGCTTCCCCCACCCCAACCCTGCAGGGGCAGAAGCCCCATCAACACAGTAGTCATCTGCGGAAGAGTATGCCACTAATTCTCTTTAGGTAGGTTGGAGCTCTCATCCTCCCTGGACAGGCAGTGAGGCTCCCTTCTTCCATTTCCCCCCCCCCACAGCTAGAGAGGGAGGGGGATTCCCAGCATTTTTTCTGGCAGCGGGGGTTACTCTGCTTGGATGGGGAGGGCTAGACATACTGCAGCCTTCCCTTTCTGCCACAAACAACTTTCCACTGGATGATGCTGAGGGAACCCCTCTAGAGCAGTGCGTGGAGGTAACACCACACTGAGATGCATGGGGCAACGCCTCACCCTTAGTGCTATTGTCCCAGGCTCTCTGCAGACTCAGGCAGACATCACTGCATTGCTTACACTTGGGTCACTTTTTAAAGCTTTTCTTTACAACCATGAGGGCTAGTAAAGAACTGTTACTTCTCTGCAGTAACTGATTCTGCAAGGTGTTTGACTATGTGGGTCCCACATGGTACGTTTAAAGTGCAGATTACACCAGTCACTAATAACAGGTTCTTTTACTGAGTCTGAGATTGGTGACTCGCACACAGAGACTTTATGAGCTTAAGTTAGTACAGAAAAGGATAACTGAAATAATAGGAAATGAGATAGAGTACAAAAAGTATAGCAAAAACCGACTTCCTGGATCATGCATAGTTACAGCCTGAGACTGGAACAAGCTAAAGCCATCCCCCAATGTTGACATGCTTACAATCTTATGGAGACCATTAGAAACAAAGATGGAAGAAACTGCCAGTGGAGTGCACCACAAGAGATGACGTTTTGGGCAGCCACCTACACAATCACTCCCTGGCTCCCACGTGTGAACATTCAGGTATCGGGTTTTATATTCTCCTTTTTTCATACATTTACACGTCCATGACCATATTTACGTAGGTCTCAGCTCCAGGTGCCCATAATCAGGGTTCTGATTGCTGTATTTTTATCATTTTTCTGTGTGAGTTCATTTGAGACCATAGTCACAGAAAAATGATAAAACACAAAACCACTATATCCTCTTTTGGATATGTTTGGGTACCTACATGGGGAACAAATATTTGAGCATGGGCTCTTCAATCTAGCAGATAAAGGTATAACATGATCCCATGGCTGGACGTTGAAGTCAGACAAATTCAGCTTGGAAATAAGGCATACATTTTAACAGAGAGAGTAATTAGCCATTGCAACAGTTTACCAATTGCCCCATCACAGGTAATTTTAAAATCCAGATTAGAAGTTTTTCTAAAAGTTCTGCTCTAGGAAGTATTTTGGGGCAGGTTTCTGGCCTGTGTGATACAGGAGGTCAGGCTAGATGATCAAAGGGTCTCTTCTGGCCTGGACTCTATGAAGGCCTGGTACAGATCAGTCTTAGGATTGTGGAAGTACAAAGGTGATCTTGGACACAGCACTGCCCTCCCGCTCCCCTGCCATGTTCTGTACTTCTCAGCCATAACTTAGGTTCTGGCCCATAATTCTTGTCAAGTATAAGGTGTCAGGCTGTCTGGAGTAGTTCACGAGCGTGAGTGCCAACCTCAGGACAGGCTGTTACAAAACAGGGCACAACCCCCCAGATTGCCTGTGAGGCCTACATTTAGATTGCACCAAACAAGTATCAAGTATAAACTCCTCAGGCACTGTGACAGTTTAAACATGGAGTCACAGACAGTCCCCTTGGGTACACTTATCTATCTTGCCACCCAGGCAAGTTGTCTTTGTGCTTTACAGCAAAAAGCACAATAATATTCAGGTTACTCCCAGTCCCAAAGGACTGGTCACTTATCTAAGGTCAATTGCACCCTAGATCTCACACCAATAGGGTTACCATACGTCCGGATTTTCCTGGACATGTCCGGCTTTTTGGTCCTCAAATCCCCATCCGGGAGGAATTGACAAAAAGCCGGACATGTCCGGGAAAATAGGGAGGCATGGTAAGGGGACCGCCTCCTCCCCGGACTCCAACTTTCCGGGGCCAGGCGGCGGCTGTTCGTTCTCCCCACCTGGGCAGCCGGACTCGGGAGCAGCCGCTGCTGCAGCTCCCACTGCCACTGGGGGAAGCGGCCAAGTATGTGGCGCTCGGCGGCTGCGGCTCTGGCGCCCAGTGCATGAACCTCCTGAGCCCGGGCCTGCTGCGGGGACCCAGCTGGTGCAATCCTGCGGGTGGCCCCGGAATGGGGGCAGCAGGCCCCAGCCCCCCCGTCCCGCTCGGGTCCCGCAGGGGAACGAACAGGGCTGCCGATGCCTCCGCCCCGGGGCCGCCGCGGGATTGCACCAGCTGGGCAGCAGCCCAGACGCGACTGGCCAGAGGCTGGGCGCAGCGTGCGTGCTGCTGGGTCTCCACAGTAGGCCCGGGCTTGGGGGGGTTCGGGTTCGGGCCCGGGCGCCAGAGCCGCAGCCACCGAGCGCCACGTGCTTGGCCGCTTCCTCCCCCCGCGGCAGTGGGAGCTGCAGCAGCGGCTGCTCCCGACTCTGGCTGCCCAGGTGGGGAGAAGGAACAGCTGCTGGCCACCCCCCTGCTCTCCCTCCACGGTACCGCCCGAGTCCTGCCTGCTCAGGCCAGGCCGGACTCACTCACCCCGGCCCCGCGCTCCCCTGCGTCCTCCCGGGCCTCCCCTCTCGTCCGTCCGTTTTTTATTTTGTCTCTGGT